AATCTTTTTTACTTTCTTTAATAATCAAATTAATATAAAGTAATAATAAAATTTATATTGCCGATTACTCTCTTTCTCAAGAAATACTTCACGAGAAATTTTTTTATTTAATAAATCTATCATTGCAAGTAAAAAAATAGCAAATCGGTTAAAATCTGATTTTTTAGATAGATAGTTGAAAATTCGGTAATGATTCTGTACAATGAAACAAAAGGCTTCAAAAGATAGATAGTTCAATAGAATAGTAACATGTTATATTGATTAGTACATAGAATAGTAACATGTTATATTGATTATTTCTTTAAACAAAGCAACAAACCTTTTTTTTATTTAAAAAAATTTCAAATATTAACTTCTGATATCTAACATAGAAGATACAGGAACGACAATAAATATATTACATGTATCTATTACTCTATATCGATTATTAATTAATTACTAAATTATTTTTATATTTAAAAGTACAGAAAAAATATATTAAGAGATTTTGGAGATTACATATTTTTGAAATTTTCGCGAAATGTCTTTTGCGTGTTCTAATTTGAATATTGAAACGTTAAAGTCAGGGTGTGCTGTACAGTACATACTATTATAACGAATTAATCCGAAATGTCATTGCTACGATAGCAAAATAATCATTTAAATTGATCAACCGCTGAGCATTGATCCAACCGCGCAACCCTTTATCAATTACGGCGGCACGCGGGAGAAACCAGTCGCGCGGTTTGCAAGTTAATGGAAGCGAGTGACAGCCGATCAACTTATCGGCTCCGAAAATTGATATCCAGCGCCCGCGCCGCGTATTCAGCCACGCGGCGATTCCATCGGAAAAATATAAGTAAAGATTCGGCCTGACGTGCTGGCTCGTCGACGAGGGACGTTCGGGGAACACGGCGCGCTGGCTGTCGGCCAACCCAGTCCCGCATTTGGGTCAAACTGACCTACGCCGCCGGGATCCTCCGCCGGGATCCAACCGATCCCGCATCGTTCTCCCGCATCTCCCTGTAGGGATGGAGGCGGCTGCAATCAGCCGAACCGTTCTCTCCTTCACAGCACTGGCGACCTAGTCGGTGTGCTCCTCTGCCTTTACAACCGCGGACGCGCGGTGCACTCCTCTCGGAAGTAGCGCACTTCATCGCGGAAGATTTGTAAATGCGCCGAATGGCGACGGGGGCGACGGCCCAAATAATCTGAAGGAGCTCTCAGTCTAGCCGTTCGTGAAACTTTTCGGAAAACTAACTCGAGAGATTGCGTTACGTCTTTATTGATATCCAAGATTTTTCACAATGATACTATGATACTACTTACGATAATATTCTGATGATTATCTCGATTTTTATCTTATTTATGTCCATTTCAATTTCATTTCTATTAATTTTAATTTCGGTTTAATGTATTCCTTACCTTTCTCCAATTCGTAAAAAAGCTAGAAAATAAATCGAGTTTAAAGTTAATTTAATTAAAGCTAATTTACATTAATAAAAATGAATATTAGACGATTGATTTATAAATTGTAAAATGTAGAAGAAATTAAGTTATATTTAGCTATCGAATACGAAAGTAGAAATTTTATGTAACGCCATATGCAGCAGAAGCAGTTAAAGCTCACGGCATAATTTATGACGCGATCATTTCGTCGGTAGCTTCTACTTCCCTTTGATACTAATGGAATCGTACTGTGGAAAGCGTGAGCAGAACCCATAAAGAACACGTTGTCTATACCGCACCTATAAGTGTCGAAAGTTAATGTTAAAATGGATTATCATCGAAAAGAGTAACATTCCTA